CACACGGACACAGAAGTATTTTTAAGAATTATTTCTCTATACGAGCGTGTACTGGGTGCTATAGTTATGCAAACAGTGAAGTGGTTCAAGCTACGGACACCGAGTTATTCAGTGTGGCCACAAATTTTAGTTCTCACGAGCCGGTAAATAAAATTCAGTTGGTTATTAATAATATTATTGGATGTCAAAAAATTCTGGAAAATGCCGAAAGCTAGTATTAGCTACGTCTGATCTACGAAGATTGGAGGTTTTATTGAGAGAATTCATTTATGTGCCTCGCTATCTTCCAGGCATTTCCATAGCCACACTGATCTGACCCCGTAGATAGATTGCCCAAAGCCCCACGAAGAAACATATGGGAAAGAGTTCAAACAAGCCAGTTGCCTTGAACCTCCGAGTCTTATTCCCAGACCTGACCGAAGCGCGCAATAGAGAAAAAAATATACAAATTGGAATGGCATCTAGTGCAATAATGGCAACGGAAGTAGAAAAAAGAAATGGAAAAGCCAGCCTTAGTCTATGACTGAAATTGAAGCTTAATGACCAGTGTATGGCTAGATGCCAACTGGGCAGCAGATGCCATGTTTATAGATTTCGTGGCGTATTGGTCTCCACTCGTCCACAGTTCGTACTGTCCCTTCCATCCCCATACCTTCTCCAAGCCTTACTTGTTCTTGGATTGGGCTGTGATGGATATGATGTGGATGGGCTGCGACTCAAAGAGCCGGGGGAGGAAGGGGCCGATGACCCTGGTGTGGTGTTTGCCGTGGCCGAGGCGACAGTATTGCTAGATCGAACTGATGTAGCTGCAGTGGCCGGATTGCAATGTGCGCAGACGAAAATGTTGAAGCCACGGCCCTCGCAGCTTGTGCAGACTGCTCCTCTGCATATATCATAAGTATACGCGGTTTACTAAATATTGTGATCATATTCCTAGGAATGGCAACATACCTTGGAGCGTTCCCGGCGCAGCCGCGACAGGTCTGGACTGTTCGGCCTCCAATACAAGATATGTGATCTGGATCCAGGTGGAAGGGCGAAAAGTTTGAGGTGGCCATTGCGGCTTCGTGAGATAGAAAGATGGTGGGGCAATGCGGTAGTAATATGCACTGATCTCGAATAGGAGATGCTGCAAGGATGGGCTGGACAAAGTGTCAAACACTCGCAAAGTGGAGAGATCGGGGTATATAATTAATCTCTTATGTTCTCCGATGTATTGGCCGTAGATGTTGAAGATTTAATCGAAGGGAAACGAGGACGAGGGCAGCGCTTTATCAGCCTGCCTCCTACTAGATACCAACGTCGGAACAAGAAGGAAGGCCAGGCAACGTGTTGATTCAGAGATCAGGCAAGGGTAAAATCCTGCCCAGGCCAAAGTATAACGAGCCCGGAAATAGTAGACTAGGAAGATCGACTCTTACACGGTAGAGGGACCTGGTGGCACACGACATCGTGAATCGAATGTTACATTCGCCGAATAATGGAGACGAAAAAGCAAAAAAAAGAGACAACGAAATCGATGACGCTGTATAATGTGAAAGAAAAGGAGGAATAGCAAATCTGCTCCTCTGAGTGATCAGCAGGACGTTACAACCGTGGGGAGGGGGCTCTATTGTTGGCCAAGGTATGTATGTAGTATGCATTGTTGGAATTCCGTGGGTCCGGTCACCTCAGTACAGCGACGCCTTCCCATAAAGCAACATCCAATAAAAATTGCAAAAACAGATCTAGCATAAGGGGAGAACGGCTTATGCACCGTCTTGAGTTTAGCTTAGGCGTAAACCCCGGAGGAGTGCATGGAAGGGGAGCGCCGAGAGGCTCGTCTAATTGCTAGGCGAAGTCATCTCGGCGACGCATGTTCAGGGTTGCTGAAACCAACCAACCTGGTGGGGAAATGCACATGCGTCGAGAGGGGCGGAATCTCCATTGAAATGTACCTACTGAGAGGCCCGATGTACTGGTTTACAGCGGGGCCAAAATTTGACAAGTGGTGATTTCCAACACTGTGCTGCAACGAAGCCCTGGGCTCTGCGGTGAACTCAACACGAAGAGCAGCTCTCCCGGCAAGGTAACGAGAGGACAATACATGGATTAGCGAACGAGGATTTATCGACCACAAATCAGATGCAGGCCCAGCGTTGGGCAGGTTTGAACCGATGCTGCGTACACGGAAAATAACTCCCAGCCGCATGGCAGCCACCACAGCCTTGTGTTACATGGCCAGGGTCAGTAGCTGTGGATGATGTTGGATACTGTCAATGGGGCGGTATTTCTGGGTGTATAATGAAGTCTGGCCCCATATGATACAGCCAGGTGAAGCTGAATGGAGAATTCCATCCACGGATAGTTGCTTCCAACCATGCGAGAGTGATGTCACTCCCGAGATATACGAACGGTGCCGAGAACGAGTCTAGATGCACATCTCGAAGGTACGTAACATTTGTCAGCTTATAAAGCTGCGCCGAAGAGTTTCATATGTTAACTCCTCTAATTTACGGAAGGCTATGTAGGCTCTACCTTCCAACGGAACAAAGTGAATTGAATTGCATGAAGGATGGGCAGATTTCACTCTTATTTGGGGTCATATGGCCATCTGCATCTCCAAATAAGACTATATCGAGCAGGAAACGACCATGATAGAGGTACAACAGGCTACTCGGATGTAATGGGGCACCAGTGAAATAGGTTGCTTATGGTTGAAGGATCCAGCAGCCTTCGATGGGATTCCAAGAACTCCTCTTGATGCATGTCCTCTTTCATTCCCACATGGAGATATCGAAAAAATCAAGCACCTTTGTGATAGACTAATAGATAGGCCCAGATGGGGCAAATGAATGTGATAGTGGGATATTTAGATGCATGTAAGGCTTGTTCCAGGGCGCCCGAAAGAAGATTCCCCTGGGTCGAATTGCGATATGGATCTGCCTTGGAGTGAAAAAAAAAAAAATAAGATAAAATCACGGAACTTAATCCACGAATGAAAAGATTAAGAACAGGTCGAAATAATTGGTCTCGTGGCCAATCGCACGAGGCAAGGATCTGTACATACAATGTATGTGCAGCGAGAAAAGAACAGTCTCATGGAAGCGCCGTGATGATAAGACTTGGCAGATCTCCCTGCCGCCCTCCAAGCAGGTATCCGTCTAGCACTGCATGTCTGAGAGTATGGAATTACCACGCTAGGACAGGGCCGCGAGGAACGTACGAATCTCTGCAGTCGCTCGGGATTTACTGGAGATCCTTGTGGAGCTGAAAGCAAGGGGATCCCTGTCAACCGTTGTAGATCGAAGGTGATTCCTCCGAAGCACCCACCAGCTGAAGAGGATACATCCGACTGACGGATGAAAGAAGCATCACCTCCCTGGTATGTTGCGTGCAGCCCGTCAGCACTAAATGCACCTGCAAAAGCTATCGTTTTATTTCAGTTTTTCATGGGATTCCTTGGTCAAGAACCACTTTTACCGGGCTTGTTCGACCCGTTCGAGATGAACCTCGAGATGAACTGCAGCCAGCCATTCCCCATCACGCGCTTGTCCCGGGATTTGAACTGGGACCGAAGGAATGGCCTCACACTGGCAGCGGTGGCGTTCTCGACACCCAGAGCAAAGCCATCCTAGAAAATGGCCACTTGAGACTACTCCAGGGTTGGAAAGAAGACCCCGGCGGGGATACTCGATGTTCGTGTCTTTCTTTCTTTTTGTAATAAAAGAAATATTCCATTTGTTTCGGCGGGAGGCGGTGACACAAACAAACCTCACAGCCTACAGGAGAGAGCAGAGATGGACTGGCAACCCGGGGGGTTGCAGGGACAAAGGATATCTCACTAGTCAGCTGACACCAAGGCCTTTGAATATGCTGCAGCTCGTTTGATGAGGTGGGCGTGATACTTTTTCCAGCGCCATCTTTTAATCAAAAAAAGGGGAATGATCTGATTTGGCCCCAGGGTCTGGAATGGGTTGGCATTTTGGTCGTGGTCAATATTGCAACAAAATGGCCCCTCGGCGTAGATAGTACCTAGCAGAGGATAACGTGTGATGAAACTCACCAGGATCGGTGTCTCAAGATTTCTTAATAGTAGTACTGATATGTATCGGCGAGCACAGGAGAAGATACTTGTAGACACAGGGGTGTTGAGCAGGTACACTTTCTGCACTTATGCCAGTGGAGACTCGGAATTATTGGTTGACACTGAGTACTACTAGTAGACACAGGGGTGTTGAGCAGGTACACTTTCTGCACTTATGCCAGTGGAGACTCGGAATTATTGGTTGACACTGAGTACTACTAGTAGTAATATAGTTAATATCTATTCTATGACTATCTGATTATCAGATGGAACACCATGCTCTGCTGATTCTAAGCCAATGTGGTAGCTTCTCCGACTATCGGCGATGACAATGCCCGGGACCAAACATTCCCACACATGCAAGCTGCGCATAGAAGTACTAGATTCCACTGATATGACATCATGGCCCATGATCTTTCAAACGAGGCCGGTATGAGGCGGTACCTGGCAGTTGAGTGCGCCGGCCTCCAAAGATTGTATACGGACCATAAGGTAGAAATGCGATCAATTGTAAAGGAATTCGTATTCATTCTTACCACCCATTATGGTCTGCGTGCTAAGCATGTTCACAGGTCGAGAAAAGACGGATAAGCAACACCAAGGAAAGGCCCACGCAAAAAGCACCACAGAAGCCAGGATAAATGGCGCATTGCTAAACTGAAAGAGCAACCTAGAGTCATAAAAAAGGAGAAAATAGAAGGAGAGAACGACAGAGGGTGAGTAGAAAATCAGAAAAGCCACCGAGCCAGTACGTCTGAACGCCATATCATGTAACACCAAACCGCCAGATCGCTAGGCAGTGATGTATTAGCCTGAAGCCATAGCAACTGGTAGGAAATCAATAAAGAAAGGCCCATTCATGAACATGGGAAAGGACCTCGAGAAGACCGACAGACATCGAGGTCCGGAAACATCGCGCTCTTAATTCCCACATCTACTGGAAGTATTCTGCTGGGAGAGCCGCCAGTAAAGCAATGGTCCCCAGCCCTCCGAGTAGAGCACTAACAACGGCAGTGGCAGTATAGCGTGCCAGGTTCTTGGGAGGAGCAGGAGAGGGCTTGAGTCTCTTTGTGGGGGGCTCGAGTTCAGATTTTTCGCCAGCCTCCAAAAGCGCCGAGGTAATAGCGGATACTACCTGGGATTGGGAAATTTCGTCGAGTTCGGGCTCCTGAGATGCCGGGTACACCAGATCAGGCTTTTGGGCATCTTGCAAATTATCCTGGGACTCCATCTCAGAAGCCTTGCGCTTCATGGCCGACGAAGTTGGCTTCAAGAGAGTTTCATTCTCGTGCGCTGTCTCAATCTTGTCCTTGCGTATCTCCGAGAGGTTGTCTTGCGAATCAGGCATTCTGTGCTTTAGGGACGAGAGCTGACTCCACGAAGAAGGGAAATGAGTAGGAGAGTGTGGAACAGGAACAGACTGGCAATCCCACGAAAATGGACCGTCTCTATACCCTGGATACGGGGAGTTGATCGGGTCATAATATGAAGATAGCTGAAGAGGGACCTGTGTGCCAGGTATATGTGTGCCAACTAGGTTTCCGGCTTCCGTAGGAGCTGGAGGACTGTAGCTCCTGCCATATGGGGCATAGGGATATGCGGGTGGGGGAGACGAGTGTTGAAAGGCTTGATCGGACTGATGGGCTGCGCCGCCTTTTGAGCCATCCATGCGTTCTCGGACTTGTCGGAGAGAGGGGGCTCTAGGCTATTCTTTTGAGCCAGCACCCTTGGATCAATGCACTCTTCCTTATCATTGTCGCTAAGATCAGGATCCTCGTCTGAGATGGCGTCTTCCGGGCTTTCGGATCGTTCAACGAATTTGAATTCTTTCGTGACAACCTCACCCTCACTTGTATGAGATGAAGTAGATTTGGAAGACTCCAGATCCGATTCCTCATCAGAATATTCGGAAAGTACATATTCATGGTCCGACTCCTGCTCTGCATAGGCATCCCCTGGCCCAGAGTCCCAAACAGAAAATTGCTTGGGTGGATCGGTTTGATGCTGATGCTTCGGGTGGGCCTCCTGGTCATCGTCCAAGTTGATAATATCGTGCAGCTTAGGGGCAGCTCGGATAGTAGGGGCAATATTTGAAGCTCTCGCTCCATCAAACCCAGTGACAGTCACGTTCTTGACTGGGACTTCCTCGATATCGCTGTCATCCTCCGGTACACAGAACGTGTTGCTGGATGAGGTTGGACGGGGAGCATCCTCCGGGTTAAACACGCTTATCGGTTTCGGTACTGGGATTTTGGGCTCTGGGATTTCTTCGATGGAGCTGGATTGAGAGGGGTCAGTGAAATATTTCCCGAGAAATCCAAAAGTGGGTGTCGATCCGTACTCCTTCTCGGACCATTTAATCTCACAGCGGACACTCAGTGCAGGAAACTCTTCTATCAGAGAGGTCAGAATATCTCCACAAGGAATGAAAACCAGGGAATCCCGAAGCTTACCGTCGCCGCGATCTACGTTGACACCGAATCGTAGAATATCGCCATTCAGCAGAGGAGTCTTCTGTTCCTGGACCAGTTTGAGGTTGTTGAGCCAGGTGCCATGAGTTGAGCCAGAGTCGTAGATGTAGACGTGCTGTAGGAAGGATTAGTATGACTTCCTTGGGCCAATCCCGTAAGGGAATGGGGACTTGCCTCGTTCTCAAGACTTAGTTCGGCATGCTCGCGGGACATCACTCGCGATTCATACCAGCCATTATCACTCGCAGGCTCACGGTTTCGGGTTTCGCGCTTTGACGATCGACCGAGGGGAATAACCGGGTTATCTTCAGACAGAGTAAGGTATCGTGAAGCTGGGGTCGGATCTTCCTGGTTGTCAACAGGGAGCAAGGTGATCGCAACTAGAAATAGTGATATCAGAAACCGACTTCGGAGGGGGAAGAGTGTGGGGGTAGAGGGGATGGGGGGGGGGGGGGTTGAAGCTTACCCTGCATATCCGACATGGCTGCAGATCGCGAGCTTCAGAATGGGAAGTCACAGGGTACTGCAGTAGACAAATTCCGAGCGGAAACGAGGAGAGAGACTGTATTGTACACAAAGCCTGTGTTAGGTGATGGAAGGTCTGATGCAGGCTTTGAGGTAAGAGGAAATCTCTCATTCATATGAGGACAGACCTGATCGACGTGTGACGCTTAGGCTGCAGTCCCAAGGCGATAAGGCAACTGAGGCTGACAGGAGCTTGCCGTACCGGGGTTGTCCGGGCAAATGAGGTCGCGGAGGTGGAGGGAAACAGTTCCAGCAGTTGAAGTTCCGAGGAGGTAAATAAGATAAAGAAGTATCTTCACGGACAGAGCAGGTAAAGGGCCAAGAAAGCAGAGAGAGTAGGAGGGCAAGAGGATAATGGGAGAGAGTAAGTGAGGTGTAGAGGGGAGGAGAAGTGAGGAGGAGGGGTAGATGATGAATCAGTTGGTCAAGGCTTTCAAGGTTGGGTTTGGCACTTTCCAGTGTTAGGGAATCTAAGGGACACTCTCGACTTCGAGCCAGGAAATCACAAGACTCATGACGGGAACACTATATTTCCCACGGCCCAATAGAGCCTAAACATAATGTCGTAACCGTCGTATACTTACTAGTAACTAAAGTACTTACTACTTTGTTACCAAGGTGGGGCATCGCTCTTATCGCGATGGGGCAGTGGAGATCATTGGGGGGCTATTGCTACTACTACTACTACTACTACTGTATTATAGTTTATAGATTGTAGTCTTCAAACAGTCACATTCACACATTCACCTCTATGGTACACAAATTACTCTCCACCCTTTCATAGCCTCATGCAGATAAAATGTCCCCGGGGCTTGAAAACGGAGACAGCCCTCTCCCAACCCGCCCGTCCCGTATGGGATCTCTCAGATATCTCAGCCCGCAGTCCAAAGATCGCAAAAACAATGAGTAGGGGAAAACAAAATAAAAGGAAACAAACTTGGGAATCTGTTGAGAGGGGATCAAGGTGTAGTAAATACAAGGGGAGAAAAAAGACAGAGGACCGAGGACCACGAGCTGGAGAAAAAGACACAGAGGACCGAGGACCACGAGCTGGAGAAAAAAAAAAGAAGAAAAAGGATCATGAAACATAGACCCATCCCATCCGGAGGACGATACAAAGACGTGATTAAAGAGGGCAAGATGGCAGAAATAGCGATGGCGAAAAACAATAGGAAATCAAGCGGCTGTCACTTTTACATGCCAGGTGGTCCGCCAGCGCCCATCGCGCCCATGGTGTTCAGGCGCGCTGCGAGCTGGGGGTACTTCTCCTGGACCTCCAGTTGAGTACGGGTGGCTTCGGCGTATGAGATGGCGTTGATAATCTCGGCCTCGGTGCGAGCAAGCTCGGCCGCACGCTCGAAGTACTTCAGAGCCTGCGAAACCTTGCCCTGCTGCAGAAGCAGCTGGGCCATGGTGCCGACAGCGATGTCGCATTCGGGGTCAACTGCATATACGTTAGTATGAATGCTCCACGGTGGTCAAGATCGAACTTCAAGGTCAAAACTTACTGATCAGCGCCTTCTGGCACAGGCCTTCAGCCTCCTGGAAGTCGTGCTTCCACTGGAACAAGGCCAGAGCCTTGTTGATCAAGGGCAAAACGTTGATGCCCATGGGCTTGCTCAGCTTCTCCATCTCAACCGCCTTGTCGAACTTCTCGATGGCCTCGGCGTAGTTCTGCTGGTCTAGCAGAAGCTCTCCATAGTAGTTATACACGTCGGGAACCTCCTCGAAGTTCTTGACGGACCGACGGAAGGTGGCCATAGCGGAGGCAACAGAGCCCATCTTATACTGTGTCACACCGAGCTGGATGTGCGAGAAAATGAAGGAACGGTCCAGGTCGATGGACTTCTGGTAGTCCTTGGCAGCCTCAGCGAACTCGCCCAGGATGAAGTGAAGCTGAGCACGGTGGTAGTAGATATCCGGGTCATCCTTGTTGTGGTTGATGGCAAGCTCAAAGTCATCGGCAGCAGCATCCCTGTTGCCGAGCTCCAGGTGCAAGCTAGCACGCTTGATGTAGCTCTGAACCAAGGAAGGCTGGATCTCAACGCTCTTATTCAAGTCCTCCAGCGCATTGATGGCGTTACCGCCGAGGTATGTGAAAGTAGCACGCATGTTGAGGGCAAGGGCCTCGAAGTCACCAAGATCACCAGCCTGAATGGCCTTCTCGAAGGAGGCAGCAGCATCCTCATAGCCCTCGCCAGTCTTCTGGGCCATGGCGACCATACCCTTGCGCAGCAGACCCTTTCCAGAGTCCTCGCTAAGCTCAACGGACTCCTCCAGACCCTCGGGGAGGGACTGGGGACGGAAGCTCTGCAGGTAGTTGGAAACAAAGGTGGCGCTGGGCAGCTTCTTGGTACGGGCATCCAGGATGGCCTTACTCTTCTGCTCGGCGACCTTCTTCAGCAGACGCTCGAGGGAGTTACGGCTGACATCGTTGGAGAAAGCATCGATGATGCAGCTGGCAGTGAAGTCGAGGAGAGCCTCGCTGTACTTGCTGAGGTGCTCGTAAGCAATGGCACGTCGGTTCAAAGCCTTGACGTATTCACTGTCCATGGCCAGAGCGGCGCTGGTGTCCTCCACAACCTTATCCCAGTCGGACAACACATTGTAGCAAGCGGCACGGTTCGAGTAGAAGACGGGGTCCGGCTTGCAGATGATAGCTCTACCGTAGAGATCAATGGCCTTGGGGTAGTCCTTGGCACCGTAGGCCTTGTTTCCGGCGGCCTTCAGCTTCGCGGCATATTCCTTCCGGGTCTTCCAGGGATTGTTAGTATGAGAATGGAATTGGTTCGCGTAATGATGGCAAACACGTACCTCCTCGGACAACTGGGCAACGGTGGCCTCATCAACCTCGGGCAGCTCCTCGGCGGGCTCCTCGGCCTTCTTCGCGGTGGATTCTACCATTGACGTTAGCCGCGTTCATCTAGGCAATCGTACCATGCAATGGGGGGAGGGAGGAGACAAACCATCCTGCACTGAAGCGGACTTGGCCTTTTCCTTCTCCTCGGCCTTCTTCTTCTCTTTCCGGCGCACGGTCTTGCTCTTCTTGGGGGTGGAGGAAGTAGAGGAGGCTGGCTTGCTGGAATCGTAGAGGTAATAGACGACACCAGCGCTGGTGACGACGACGGCAACACCGGCAATGGTGTAAACCAAAGCCTTATTCTCGGACACCCACTTGGACACGCGATCCCAGACCGATGAGGAAGTAGAAGCAGGAAGACTTGAGGTGTCCAGCACCACGTTCTGAGCGGCGGGCGTAGGTAGCGGCGGCGATGGGCTCGACATGATGTGTGTATGGACCGGACACGGCGACCGATGCTATTAAAATCCTGATTCTGTCAGGGTGTATATGGGTTAGCGATGAAAATGAGATTGCGCCGATGAATCAAGGAGAAACGAACCAGTCCTTGTCGCCAACGGCGGGAAATGTGAGTGAGATAGGGAGAACGGACGAAGCTGGTGGAAAAGTCTCAAGTTCGATCATCCCCCGGCACGGGCCAATCACGCGCTCCACGACGGTAACGCTCCGCCAGTTCTCCACATTACCAAAACCCGAATTGCCCCAGCAATGCCGGGAACTGACGACGCTGGATGAGACGTGTGGACTAAAAGCACAATTGTCTGATTCGATTACTCAAAGTCTTATCATACCATCGCGCAGGAATCGCGCCCAGCGACCGAGGTAGTCTTGTTGACTGAGGGTTGACGCATCGCGACTAACAATCACCTCGACAACTAGCGACGTCACACTTACAGAAAACCCAGCGCCCGCGACAATGGCCTCGGTCTCAGCCGCAGATGCTGGGCAGACCTTTGAGATTATCTCTTCACTTCGATACGATCCTTCCCTACCACAAGTCATTCTCCGCAATGCCGATAGCTATCCCAATCCCCGAGACTCGCCCTACTACCTCTTGGCGTACCATCGTGACCGATTAATAGCTGCGGCGCGCCATTTTGGATGGGAACACGCGTTGAAATGGCTGCAGCAAGACTTGACAAGTTTTGAAAGGTTCCTGGATGGGTCAATACCGGACCGGAGCAAGCCATGGCGGTTGAGGGTTGTGGTGGATAGCAACGGCAAGGGCTCGGTCGATGTCAACCCAACTGCTGCATTTGATCCATTGAACCTGTTAACTCCGTCTCTGCATGCCAGCCGTCCACCGAATTTATGGCGGGTTTACGTCGATAGCCAGCCCATACTACCCTCCGGCTTCACCACACACAAAACCACTGCTCGGGATGACTATACAGCTGCACGATTGCGAGCGGGGATCACTTCACCAGCGGAGACAGCGGAGATTCTCGTGGTTAATCCGAGAGGTGAGATCATGGAAGGAAGCATAACTACCCCATATTTTCGGCGTCGTGGGCCGATCCTCGGCCCATCTGGCCAAGACTCGACTGAGCCTGCTTGGATTACGCCGCCTCTGAGCAGTGGCGGCAATGCTGGGACAAGCAGAAGATACGCTCTATCCCAAAGGTTTTGTGTGGAAGGAATTATTCCACAAACCGACCTTGTGGATGGCGAAGAATGCTGGTTGAGTAATGGGGTCCGCGGGTTTATGCTCGGCGTGGTTGTACTGAGTCGTCAACCTGGAGAGCAAAATTGAAAGCTACGACTAACCAATGCATGACTGGTAGCTTCAAAAAGAGCAAACAACAAATATTAAGAAAGGAGAAGAGAGAAGAGAGAAACAATTGGGTATAGTTCTCATCGCAATGACCGCCGCGGTGTGCAAAAGCTAGTCTTTTGTACCATGAGCGAAAAGATGAGACGAATAAAACTCTGTAGTCGGAGAGATGTGTATTATGTATTTGCAATACTCCCATGCGTCTAGGCTATGAAGAAGCTATGAACAAGCAAGTGAGATGGCGTACGCTCGAGGGAGACGTAACACATGGAGAAACATCGAAAAAAAATACAAGCAAGATAACGTGCGCTTGAGGTGGAGGT